ATTCGAAGCAGCGTACCTGCTCACAGGCAACGAGACATACGAGTCGTGGTACCGCGGCCAGATCGACGGCGTCGTGCAAAGCGACGGCAAGATCAAGAACTGGGATTCCGCGCAATACTCGCTTGACAACTACCGTATGGGCAATAACCTTCTATACTGGTACGAGAAAACGGGCGAGGCGAAATACAAGAGCGCCGCATCAATTATTCGCCAGCAGATCAATCGACACCCGAGGACAGCTACGGGGGGTCTCTGGCACCGCTCCCCGGTATATCCCAACCAGATGTGGCTCGATGGGATCTTCATGGCCGACTCGTTCTACGCCAAGTGGACGAGCGCGTTCGATAAGACGAACACGACAGCATGGGATGACATCGCCCGACAGTACGACAACATCGAAGCGCATACACGCGATCAGAAGACGGGCCTGTTGGTGCACGGGTACGACGAGAGCAAGGTGGCTGTCTGGGCCGACCCTGTAACGGGCGCGGCGCCCTTAGTATGGGATAGAGCTGTCGGCTGGTACTTCATGTCCCTCTTGGAGGTGATTCCATTGTGGCCCGAAACGCACTCGGGGCGGAAACGGCTCATTGGCTACTTCACCACTCTCGCTGACGCGTTGAAGAAGACACAAGACGAGTCGGGCGGGTGGTGGTTGATCATGAGCGAGCTATACCCAGGTGCCAAGGGCAACTACATCGAAAGCAGTGGATCGGCAATGTTCACTTATGGGTTCTTAAAGGGCATCAAGCTGGGATTGCTGGACAAAGGTACATACCTTAGCGCCGCGCAGAAAGGGTACGATCTGCTAGTTGACAAGTTCGTTGTTGACAAAGGCGATGGGACTGTGGACTGGGAAGGAACAGTCGAGGTTGGCTCTTTGAGCAGTAATGGTACATATGAGGTAAGTCTTATTGAGTACAGTTTTAATGAAGGTGATGAAAAGACTGACCTCTTCTAGTACTATATTTCTGTGCCCCTAGCGGTTAATGACTATAAAGGCGCCGGCCCTTTTATGCTTGCTTCATACGAGATAGAGACATTGTAATGTCTAACAGTTTTAGTTCCTAATACTCACTGACATCATTTTGCTGTTCCTTTGTCTGAGCGGATGGTACACGAGGCAAAGAGCTCATGTCTAAATTTATCAATATCAGTCTTGGATAACTACTATGGTAGCGGCTCGACTTCGAATGCAACACTCAATCAATCATAAGAAGGTTCCAAGGCGGGCTGTAAGGAAATGCAGTGGCACTACTTGGATCGAGTATCGGCATTCGCAATGCTTGCTGAACTGATAACTGAATTACGATTGCTAAGGCATCTAGAAATTATCATACTCTTATCTTCTTAGCGAAGCCGTTGGCGTCGGGGTAATCGTCGACGACGTAGAACTGCCACCTCCATTACTCTTCACCACCACTGCCTGCACGACCTGCCCTAAGCTGTTGAACACGATGTCGACGAGCGCATTGAGCGGCGAATACGAATATGTTTTCTGGATTAGACCACCGTCTAGGATCTTCTGTGCTCCCGTGTATGTCATGTTCTGCTCATAGTTGCCGACAATACTGCTTAGCAGATTGCCCGCTGTACCCTCCACCTCTTGCACGATGTTGCCGAGATTGTCGACGATAAAGTTGATTTTCGAGTCGCCATTTACGATCGATCCCAGCAGGCCGTCTACCGCGCCCACTACCGTATTCACAAGATCGGTTACTTCGTTGAGGACATTGATAAGGAGCGGGTTGAGGTTGAGCGACTCGAGTGTGCGATTGACAATGTCCACCAAATTGCCCAGGCGGATGATCAATTCCAACTCGGCATCCACGTCTGCGATGGTGATGTTCACCTTCTTGACTCCGACTTGGACGCCAGCGTTGATCTCGACAAGGCCCGCGATCTGAGCCGCTAGGTTCAGCTCCGCGTTGAGGTCATCCACGTCAAGTTCAATCCTTCCCACGTGAAGCTCTGGAATGTTGAGGTAAACATCTGGGGGCGAGGTTCCGGTAGACGCCGAACCTGAGCTTGTTGCCGTACCACTTCCTGAGTCACCAGTCGAAGTTCCAGATGGCGAGCTTGCTGTGTCGCTGACTGATGAGGTTGTTGTGGGATCTGTTGGCGGTGATGTAGGTGCCGCTGTCGCGTCGGTTGTTGAAACCGTTGGGCTATCTGGAGCAGATGTAGTAGTTTGGGCTGCGCCTAAGGCTAACAGCAAGAAGCTGCAAAGCCATGACAAAACCAAATGACTACGCATTTTGGCAAGAAACGAGTGGATGAAGGCGTCGCTTCAGGTGATGGGATAGTCCTCTGACTCCAATGCTTTTGAGCAACCACTGCTCTCACTGCCAAGAAGAGGTGGGCAAGCTACCTGATCTGGGACATTGTCAATGTTCCCCCCATCATTTATAACGCATGAAGAAATAATGGCGATTCAATTCGTGATTGGGATACCTGTTGGAGTGACTGGGATAGTGCGCGCCGTCTTTGATCTTAAAGCGAGCACTATAGGGACAGCAGGGGTTTATATCACATCCACTTCCAAGGCGAGGAAATTTGCATGACGCACAAACATCTCGGTCCCATGGACGCGAAACTTCGGTAGCAGTCAGCCTATTGCTGGTACCAATCGGACATCTTGCTACCCTAGTAGCAATTAGATAGCATCTCAATTGAAAGCTTGATTGAGCTAGCATTTAGCTCGTTAATTTACCCCCAACGCGACTACGTCTATAGTAGATTGATACGACTTATATCAACAGCTCGCTTAGAGCTACTACTAGGTCAAACGCTACTCGCAATGCCGCAGTCGCTAGATGAGTTCATAGGCCCTCCAGCATCTGTTATGATCATTCTTTAAACACAGGTGCCACACTCAACTCACCTCGTTGTGCAGTAGTTCTCCGCGCTTGACACCTCTCTACGCTCGCTTCAGTGTCTTGCCATCGCCCAGCATGAGTCCATTCGTTTCTAAACCTCTTACCTTTCTCCTTCTATTGTGGTTCTCTGTTGCTCTAGCACAGAGCGACGAAGGGTATATTGGATACCACCTTGATAAGCGTGGAGATCCCGAGTCGACCAACTATGAGACAGCCAGTACCGCAGGCGTTGATCTCCCTGAGGAACCCGATGTTTTCCTCAACGCGTCCGTGTCAGTAGGCGAGATCGATATTGAAGTGGACAACATCACAGCCAAAGTCAACCTAGATGCAAAGGTTCTTAACCTACTACACTTCAATGCCGGTGTAGATGCATCGATTGATCGAGTCCGCTTGAAAATCCAGAACGTTAGCGCCAAGGTGCATCTAGAGGCGCGTCTAGGCAATGTGGTCCAGATGGTCGGCGACGTTTTAACTGCCATTGACCTGAACCCCATCATTGCGACACTGGGAAGGGACGTGGGCAGCGTTGTTGGTAATGTGACGGGAGAGCTAGGAGGGGGCACATCAACTACAACAAGTACGGCCTCATCACCAACCAACGCCAAGCGAGCCGCTCTGGACTACAACATACAACACAACATCCTCTACTCTATCAACAACTACTCGGGCCAAACTCACACTAACCGTGTCCTGGCGCAGAACGGGACGATCTATGATGTGTCGCTCGACAATAATGGCAACGAACACGGCCGCCAAGCTGTTGGGTTCTATAGCCGGGACATGACCTTCACTGGTCACAATAGGACCATCACCATCGACGGTCAGACTGAGTTCGAGTTGGGCTACAAGTACACGCCGTTTGCCGGGTTGGAGGTAGTCGCGAATGTTTACATGACTTCTGGTGGCCAGGTGGTGAAGACAAAAGTCGTTGCTGAAGCAGAGGGTGGCGGGACAAGTACGATAAGCGATGACGACGATCAATAAAGTAGTACAGTCAAATCTCACATTAAGTTCCTCCCGTCCTTGAATCTCTCAACAAATGAGGGCTCATGACAAGCTTCGGCGAAATGGCGCATAGAAGACCCTTTTGAGCGTGCTGGCCTGTAACAATCACGCCGCCACATAAAGCAGCCAACTTTCCATATCCCCGTACCTTATCACGCAATATCTCCTCGCAGCTGAGGGCTGTCGGAGTCATTGCCCCTTTAACACTTGAACCAATTACTGCGTCTGGAGGAAATCCTCCGTAAGGCGCAGCATTCAACGTCCGAATTCTACGGCTGTTTCAGAAATACTATAGGTAATTAGCGGTAGTGCAAGGGGGTCGGTCAATATGCACTATACCAGCTTGGTTCCATTGCAGACCCCCACGTCTACACAGCCGTGCATTATGCCAGGGGCACCAAATCTTGATTTCAGTGCTATCGCCACAGTGACAGAACTTGTCGCATTGTCCTGTATATCATATTCAAGCAGCACTATATCATATTTCAAGGAAAATATGATTATTTTGGTAGCGCTCACCCATAGACAGTTCATTTCCTTTACATACTAGAAAATGCGCATAGATTGACTATTACGTGATCAAAAGGTAAAAGCGGCTTGATAATTTCAGCTGTCACTGTTCCTCAGCTAACGGCTAGGTACTTGTTGCCTAATTAAATCGTATATATTCTCATACACCACACTTCAGGGCACACGCTGCGAGCCGAAACTGAAGGTTCCGCAGGGCTTGGGGACATCGCGATGTTGGACGCCCTACGGTGTGCTCTGCTGACTAGTGGGGAAAGATTGCGCCAAGTTTTGTCGCTCCAACTTTGCATGGCCTACATAGCAAGCTGTGGACGAAAAAACTGACACATCTACCTTAACACTTACATTTGAACCGACCGTAAGAAAGCCATAACATCAAGCAAAATAAAATTCCCAATAAATTCATAAATATATTATTTACTGTTTTTAACCAGAATAAAAAGGGTTGAGCATATAACGGCAGAGATGAAAAAGGTCCCATCATTTAAGATAAACGGTCTGTTAGGTTATAGTGTGTCGGTTTTTTGTCCACAGCTTTCCATAGTAATTTGCTTAGGACGTAGCTAGCATCAACAAGATAATACTGGACCCATAGCTCAGCGGTAGAGCATCTGATTCCAGTAGAGTAACTACCACTGCCTCCAGAAGGTCATCCGTTCAAATCGGGTTGGGTTCAATTCCTAGGTGTTACAATCTATCAGCAGCATTGTAAACTTCATTTTTTGCCTTCATGAAATTAATATCTTTTTCCTCCTTTATTTTAACTACACAAAGGCTTTATCCCTTTAAATGCTGTATTAGCAGCACGGAGATAATGACTTTAAAGTGGCCCACAGTACCTCTGCTAATAAAGGAACGTAGAAATTTAGTGGGTGCAAAACCCTAGATGTTGGTGTTGATCGGTACTTTCTTGGTTTGATGCTGACACAACATAGATAAATACTTGATTTCTAGCCCGCTTAGTAAGCCGAACCAAAAAAAGGAGCTGTGGCGCAACGGCTAGCGCGTCGGATTCCAGACCCGAAGGTTGTCCGTTCAAATCGGGCCAGCTTCAAACGTCCTCTTTTTTCTTTCTTTTCTTTCATTCCTCACTCCATACAGGATGGCCGGGGAAAAAACTATCCTTTCAAGATCATGAAGATCTCATGGCGATTTCTTCGTAATAAATATTGTGTTGCTTGGCTGCATCTTACATATACGTTATCCTTCCTAGTGGGTTCTGCCTATACTATTAGTGTAACAACACACCTACCTACGTCTGCTCTTATTATTTATAGATCTGCTGCATACCAACTTCACTACTAAATCTACTTGGCGAGCGGTTTGTTCTAATGCTGGTGATCTATTGGGATTTGATCATGGGACTGTATTTTTTATTGTCCTAATTCGCTATAGGTATTGCTCTGGGCGATTGAGTAGATCTTGCACATCTATTTCCCGTTTACTTATTCTCTTAAGAACATCTCTCACCGTAGCATAGTGTACACTGCTTATAGATGTATTCTCGGGTTTCCAAGCTCCTTGCCGACATCCGCAACTTGGCTCCTTGGGAATGTAGTACTTCTTACCGTATCCAATTACCCACTTTGGGTCCGTGTCCTCGTACACTCGGCCATTACGACACGAACGGTAATGGATTAACTTTACGCTGCTAGGTAGATCTTTGGTGTCTTCTTTTTACGCCAGAGAGCAAAGTTGCTTTGTTCGTACTTAGAATCCCAAGTTAACTGGCAACGAGTGTTCCTAGTATGAGGAACATTTGTATCTGCGAGCTTAGTATAGTACTTAGGAACAGTACATATTGCGGAACCGCAAGCTGTGGACCTCATTTTCCCGACGTAGACACTAGTATTCAAAAGCTTATACTTTGGTTCTGGGTCGTCTAAGACACGGGATCCGCAAGAAACGCAAGCAACCGGCAACGGAGTTGAACCAGGTATTACCAAATCCGAGGAAGAGTTTCCGTGACCTCGGCATACTTCGCGACGTAAAAACCGGTAAACAACCATCAGAGCTAGCCTACAAATGCCGACTTGGTTTAGTACATCTTCATATGTAGTAGGCATGAGAGTATTGTATGCTTTGGATAGTTGTTCCGCAGATGATATGCCGATTGCCGTCAATTGATAAACCTTTTTTGTTTTGTATCCAGTTGCGGAAGGCTTCCGGTATGCTCTCCCAGTTCGAGCTTTTGATAGCACCTGATGCAATGATCTCCTTCGCAGTTTTTGTATCTAACCCATCTTTAACAAACGCTTGGATGCAATAATGATCGTTAATTGAAGGGCACAACGGAGGAGGTAAAGCTATACTTTTATCAATAATTTCCGATTTAATGTTTCAATTTTCTTCTGTTATAGCGTTTGGGACGCTGTATATTAGATCGGAAATATTAGCTTCGTAGTAGTGATCTCCGTTTAAGCTTTCTATATGCGATGCGATATAAGGGCTAGAGAATTCGTACAAAAGCTCTTGGACATCTAATATGTAAACATCTCTTTTGTCTATAGGAGAAATATTCCCGACGTCTTCGGCGAACTCATGGTCCATTATGGAATTGAGGGGCGATGAGCCAATGTTGGGGGCATCGGGATCCTCGTTGTCGTTCGTTAAGTCATGGTCGGATATATGATTAGAAGCAGATGCAACGGTACTGAAGGTTTCGGGGCCGTTCCTGATAGGTCCTGCAGCGTAAAAATGGGATGATGCTTCGCTGAGTTGACTCTTTTTGATAACGAAAGCCTCCACATCTCGATATATCGCTGGGTCGTGAGGTTCGTGTTTGGACAAACTTCTTTTGCGTTTCTTCGCTAGAGAAGGCGCTTGGGGGATGTTTTTTCAGATGGGCGCCTTGGGAGAGCGTTAAGAAGCATAAGTAGACCGCATGAGATAGAACCGGCCATCCTTTCCAGCCTTTCGATGTCCTCCATTTCGCCGTAAGCCTTTTCTGTCTAGCCATAGTCTGGTCGAATTATCTAAATCTTTTGAGGTTATCGACCGGCCAGACCTTTCTAACGCAACGATTCGTAGAATACATCCAAGAACAGAGACAGACTAAACGAAATAAGCTCGAATGTTAGAGAGCCCTGTTACCAATGCAGAAAATTTGATTACCTCACTAAGCCTGGCCGTCTGGCTACCCGATATTGCCCAGTAATCTGATGGAAGCTCAGGTGCCAAAGACGCTAAGAAGGCTTGGTAACCACTATTTTTACACCGTCGATCTCATGACAATCATATCAAGCTGTGGCATCATCCATATAAGTAAGGCATAGGCCATCGCTCCAAAATCTAGCTTTCAACGGATGAACATCTTTTATTTCCCAATAGCGGTTGGTTTCTGCCTCTATTCGCCATGTATTTAACTTGTTAGCGACACATCTGTCAGGGGGTATGTCCCCGAGTGTCAGGAGTCGCAGCGACGAGCCAGTTGGGACACAGATTAGGTAGTGTAGGTGATGAATATAAGGGTTAGGCCTCAATTCTATTGATTTCTGGTCTCTCCATCAGGGAGATAGGAGGATCGTAGTCTTTATATACATGTGAAAACCGTCTCCAACTGCCTTGATGCTACCCCTCTGCGGGTGTGCAGCTAATCGCCTGACAACATTGCTCACGAGAATCCTCTTACAGAGATAGTCACTCATACACCCACGCTCGCTGCAGCCCTCATCTGCCCTCTTCACGCTGTAGTATATTTCCTCCTCTTCTCAACCCTTTGCTCATAGATGGATTGGTGCCTACGACGAGTTGATCGGCTATGAGTCACCTTGAATTATATGTCTTCGCTTCGTCATTACGTCTGGCAAAGTAGTTGTCCAAGATATCAGGGAGGTCTTTACCTAGAGATAGCGATTACCCCTATTACTTGAACTGGGCCACTGACTTCCATTTTGCGTACTTCATACTGTGACGAACGGTCCTTCAATTCGGGAAACAGTTCCCAGGCAATGTAATTTCCTACCGTTTGCAGCACGCATAGTGAAGAAGGACGCGCCGTTTGATGAGACCCATATACTGTAGCGTAGATGAGCACGTTCTACAGCGGTCCCAACGTGTACTCGCTTGTATCACTCTGATGACTGCCTACCTAGCTACATAGCTAATTCGGTAAACCAAACTTGGGACTCATGCGCCTCGTGTCTGTCGACGGTCAATCCCCGTTCACAATCCCCATTCACATAAACAGCGCTTCAATCATGATTTCTCATCAGTAAAAGGGAACATTCGGGACCCTACAGCAACGGAAGTGGGCCTGCCCGCACGTTTCATCACTTTCTCTACATTTTCAAGAAGCTGGAGATCCGTTCCAGGTGCTCCAACAATGTTGACAACCACGGGTAAGTGCTCGGTCTGCTGGGAAACTCTAGACGCATACGGGATGTCTCCGATTGGCACGACGATGTCAGGGGATTTCAGAATAGGTGATAAGAAAAGCTCTTCAAGTGCGGACTGGTCCTCGGGAGATGGTGATACTTCGTCGCGATAATTCGTATTTGCCTTGGCGACGGGGAGGATGATTAGTCTATTGCGACTAGGGAAAAGCGTACTCATCAACCCATCACCATAAATTTCCAATTTTTTTCGCGGCTTCCTTGTGCTGAGTGGGAGTGACGGCTGCGCCTTTGTCCCACCGACGCCTGACGAATGGGATCACGTAGGGTGGTCGTCCATTGTTTGCTGCGGCGTACTTGTCACGAAAGGTGTCGGTTGAATGATAGAAAGAATAATAGTAGGTATGCGCGATAACATCTCGGAGGTATTCATCAACGCTTTCGGAAAGCCCCAAGGGATGTGTGCTTTTCCAAGCATCTCGAATAGAAATCTTTGTTCGAATGGCCGGAAGGTGGGTCAGCATATCCTCAACAAAGCCATTGATGAGTGCCATTTGATCGGAATTGTCAACCGGAAGATACTCTTTGAGACAGATGAGCTCGTAGGATTGTGTAGCAGAACAGTAGGGCTGTTTTGCTGGAACCCATGATCGTACAAACCTGCCGAGAATATCAAGTTCTCTTGCAAAAACGCAAGGCGTATCGAAACGGGAGTACGTGATAATCATTCCGCTCAAGTTTACTAAGTCACGAGATGGGCGAAACTGCCAGACTCCGTTCACCATGGCTGGCCGCCAACCGCTGCCGCTCGTGTCTGAGCCCAAGGTACAGTCTAGCCAAGGATATGAGGCGACGGCGGCGGCGGATCTGCTGCTACTCCCAGCTGGAGATTGGTAACCGTCGCCGAGTGGATTGAAGGCCGTCGGGAAATCTACCCACATCCCTGGGTTCTTCCCGTGAGATTATCAAACTAAGTTTCGTGATAACCAGGATATAGGCACCATCTCGCACGAGCGAATCAACAACGGCGGCGCTTGAAGTTGCCTCATCACTAATATCGTAGTATGAGAGGTTGAGTGAAGTCTTGAGCCCTTTGACCCGATAAAGGTCCTTCACAGCTATGCGTAGCCGACACTGAGCACCACTGACGTAGCCACACATTTAGCCATAACTAGCCAGCCGTAGAGTTAGCTATACAGCCGTCCATAGAGGTAGCACCGGGCCGTAGCCCCCCCCCCCCCCCCCCCCCCCCCCCCCCTCCGCGGAGTTGCGAAAAGCGGTTTGTATTAGGTGGTCTGTATTGGGTGGTTATGGCTGGAGGTGTGGCTGTGGGTATGGCTAG